CTTGAAAGAGCACCACAAAATTAGTAATATTCCGAAGTTTCGTTGCGAAATGTTGTAAAATGCGGATAATATAGCCTTGCGAAGTTTGCCGTTTTTCAGTCATTTTGCATTACAAACGGGAAATTGATAATCAGAAGATCTGATTATCAATTTCCCGTTTGTAATGCAAAATGCTGAAAAACGGCAAACTTCGCAAGGCTATATTATCCGCATTTTACAACATTTCGCAGCGAAACTTCGGAATATTACTAATTTTGTGATGCTCTTCCAAGCTGTGATGAAATTTTTGTTCAGACTTGTCTAGATCAAAATTTCACTCAAAAGGGGAAAGGTCTATGCAGCTGACGTAATGATAAAATCCAAATCGTTCTGCCTATATATATATGTAACAAGTTACAAGGGCACTCAAATCAAATCAAATTATATAGACATATTATAACAAATAATTAAAAGAAGCGGAATAGCTCTATTTTGTTTCTGTGTCAAATTTCATACTTTATTTTAGCTCGTTCTAAAAAGTTTCTAAATAGCTCAGCCTGGGTTGATGCCTCCCATGTAAATGTAAAACAGTTTCAGAATTCAGTTCTGTTAACCGAATTGAAACTCAACAAGCGCTGAAATTTCCAAAGTGCTACAAGATATTTAGCAAGCTTGCACTGAATGAGTGTCCAGTATAGCTGAGATAAAGCCTGCATCAATCGAGCATAGCGGTCGACGAGAGTTTGCTATAGCGACAGTTTAAAAATGAATTTCATGGCTATTCTCATGCCTCAGTTTATACGCAAGCAAGAGTTGGAAATCGCATCTCATCCTCGATTAACTATAAATCTAAGACTGAGTAGAAAAAATAGATCATACGTTTGTCACCTTGTGTTCGCCTATTGGCACAGACATTTCTTAAGATAATTTTAAGTTACGACAGCTCTTTGTCATAGCCATAGATTGTTATTGTTGATGTAATATGAAAGTGGAACTGCGTTCAAAACATTTGCAAGTCATCTCATTAGCATTTAAATTTACATATCTCATATACAACACATACTAGACAAACTTTGTTGCCGATTTCAACTTTTCAACGCGAGGGTCCCAAATTCGTTGCTAACTTGCCAATTACGTTTCCTAGTTCAAAAATTAGACGTGAACTTTGGGCTTTGCGACGTTTAAACTTTGGTCGATGTTTAAACTTTGTTTGTAAACAAATGTTCATATTCAATAATATTAACCAATTCAATGGAATACAAACCTTCTTGGTAGTCCACTGGACCAAGAAACATCCATTGAATTGTAATACAGTAATTTAACTTGAACTATGAACATTTGTTAACGTTTGAACTTTTATTGTAAAGTGACTTTACAATAGAAATTCAAACGTAATTTGTAATTTCGCAATGAACTTCGATCTGAAATCGACAATAACAAAATCAAGTACAGTATCTATTGTTGCGCTTCTAATTTGTAACGTTTTACCACAAGCAGCCAGATTGTACACGGATTAGTTGATGTTATGTAAACAGTGATTTTAAAACAGCCAAATAAACAAAATTTACCTTATCAAAGAGTATAAAATACAGTTAAATAAACAAATTTACTTACCTGATGGCTATTTGGAAAAAGTATAAGTCGAGAAATATCCCTTGACACGTGTAATATGCTAATAACACACGAGTTTATTAAATGTGTCAAGGAATATTTCTCAATCTCACTGACTATTACACATCATAAAGCCATCAGGCAAGTCAATTAGTTTATTTTATTACTGTATTTTACAAGGTAAATTTTGCTTGTTTGGCTGTTTTAAAATCGTTTACATAACAACAACTAAACAGTGTACCACCTGTGGTTTTACTAAGAAAAATACTGGGTTTTTTCTCCGGGAAAAACCTTTAGTTCCAGGAAAATGCAGTACACAAGAATCAATGTTTGATGTCACGCTGTTAATCCTGTCATATTATGCAAGAAATGTGATACATGTACTTCAGTGTTTTATTTTCAAAGGAATTAGAAGCTAGTGTACTTGCCATTGAGAAAATCTAGTTTATAATATAAACTGAATGTTTTATAACTAAACTGATATGACTTGGTATGAGATAAGTCCCATTCGAAAGTTTGAAAATTTATGTCCATATTCAAAAGTGTTTTTTGTTTTATTCAGAGTATAGGTTTGAGCCGCGGTCAGGACTAAAGCCGACCTGGTGTATAAGTAAGAGCGTGTATTCTGGGCGAAAGGAAAATGGGGAGAGATATTCGTCATGCTAGCTCTAAAGTATTCGGTAAAATATTTGTCTCTAACGAAGAAATAATTTAAGATTGGGCAATGGGGTCTCAGTGTAAAGCAGGAGGGGACTTAATAGAGGAGGCTTGACGATCGAGTGTCTTCCTCCAAAAACAGGGCGCTTGTTATAAAGTAGCCTGCATGGAAGGCGGTATTTCCCAGGCTTGCCCAATTTTAGGAACCGCCTGCCATGCAGGCTAGTTATAAAGAGGAATACTTATTCGATGAGGAGTTATGGTGTTAGAAATTCTGGAAGGATCTTGACTTTATTACAATATTTGATAACCATGCACATACTAATCATTATATCGTAAAATGTCTGCATGCAGTTCATGCCGTGTTCGGAGGTGTCCACTGTCTAAAGATTTTCTACTGTTCTACACACTTTTGATAACAATAATGCATGATTTATCATACGAGTCCTGCGCGAGAAGCGAAAGATAACTTTATCTACTACCCATCTACTAAGCACGGTCAAACGCTAATAAGAGTTTGATGACAGTTGCAAACCTCGTTCGCATTTGACTGCAAACTGCCATCGAGTCTCGCTCTCATCAACTCTGAGCTCGTTCAAATTTGGATAAGAGTTGTTTGTTTGTTTGTTTGTTTGTTTGTTTGTTTGTTTGTTTGTTTGTTTGGTGGATAAAATCTAGCCAACTTTCGTCAACCCCCGGGATACCTTGCTCCTGTTTGACCGGCACCATAAGAGTTGACATGGCCATGGGAGTTAAGAAAATTTTCGTACCAACTCTCGCTTCTCATGCAACTCTCATTAAAACTCTCATCCACGTTTGACCGGGACGTTATACTTGCAAAAACTATACTAAACTACGTACTAATGTCTCTACATATCAAAAACACTTTAAACTCACGTTACATTAGATACGATCATGGTATTAATTACGAAGTTGTTTGAACGAACTATCGTTCTGGCATGGCGAGCAATAACAGTTACTTCTGATGGCTAACATGATGAGATCTGATGAAACCAATGATTTCTGTTCATGTTTGCTCTTTGACGAATCATTTATTGTCTTCTTCTCTGGAGCTCCATACAGCCTTTCTATGTAGACCTCGGCAGGTTTCTCAGGAAACTCGGCTGGGATTTTTATGGACCACGTCTTGTAATAATGCTCAAATTTAATTTTATGGCTCCCGTCATTTTGTGTCCGGTCAGAAAACGATAATGGTATTGCCATGTCAGCCATCTTTATTTCGTTCGTTAGCCCTTTTACAACGTCAGCAAATGTTGTGGTAACTGGAGGCACTGCAGCAGCAGGCTTGGTTAACTTCTCTTTACTGATATTTTTACAAATCTTGCACGAAAACTGGCAATTTTTCTTGATAGACTGAAGTATGTTGACGTGATTGGTAAGAGGTTTCTCAAGGTTATAAAGAGAATTTGACGAGCTGCTTGGGAAATAATCACGCTTCAATTCACGGTGAAGCTTTGCTGGTTGATTTGGGAAGTTTTCAGGAAAGCGAACCATCCAGTGATATGACTCGTGTTCAAAAATCATATTTATGTCATCACAGCTACGTTCTATTTCCACTTTTCCTTGACCAAAAAATTTCTTAATTCATCGTAAGTGTCCTTCATGATAATTTCTTTCACTGTTTTATTTTGAGCTGTGCCATTCTCTGAAGGGTTATCGGTTGTTTGAGCAGTATAGTCTACCGGGGAGGTTGGTCCACCTTCGGAGGTTAAATTTTCTTTGCAGATGTTTTCACAAATTTTGCATGTCAACCGGCAATTTTTCTTGATAGACAGAAGTATGTTAACATGATTGGTAAGAGGTTTCTCAAGGTTATAATGAGGGCATGGCGAGCTGCTTGAGAAATGACGACGTTTCGATACGCGGTAAAGCTGCGCTGGTTGATTCGGGAAGGTTTTAGGAAAGCAAACCATCCAGCGATATGACTCATGTTCAAAAATCATATTTATGTCATCGTAACTTGTTCGTTCTATTTCCACATTTTCTTGGCCAAAAAATTTCTCCAACTCATCGTATGTGTCCTTCATGATAATTTCTTTCGTTATAGCCTTCTCATATTCGGTAGTCGCCGACGTTTGAGCCGAAGTATGATCTGCTGGAAGGTTTGGTAGTATTGGTACACCTTTGGGGGATTCCGTATAAAATGTGTCCGTCGGGGTAACATCATTTGCATTCTCCCCAGAAAGTTGACCATTGGTTGAGGCGACCTGCGAATAGGTGGGACTAGTGTTCCGACTCTGATGAGAATTTGAGCCTGTTTGTTGGGGATTCTTGTGGGAACTTCTTGAGGCGACCTGCGTATAGGTGGGTCTAGTGTTCTGATTCTGATGAGAATTTGAGCCTGTTTGTTGGGGGTTTTTGTGGGAACTTCTTGAGGCGACCTGCGTATAGGTGGGACTAGTGTTCCGACTCTGATGAGAATTTGAGCCTGTTTGTTGGGGATTCTGGTGGGAACTTCTTGAGGCGACCTGCGTATAGGTGGGTCTAGTGTTCTGATTCTGATGAGAATTTGAGCCTGTTTGTTGGGGGTTTTTGTGGGAACTTCTTGAGGCGACCTGCGTATAGGTGGGACTAGTGTTCTGATTCTGATGAGAATCTGGGCCCGTATTTCGTGGGGGTCCGGAGCCTGTTAAAGAGGCTCGACCTTGATTTCCCTCAGCTCCACGCTCAATCTTTGCCAAAATTTTAGCATCATTTGAGAAGGGATTTTTGGATTCTAAAACCACAAACGCTGCTTTTTCATAGCGTGTTCCACCGTCGGTGAAGAAATACGGAGACAGCACACTATCACCGTTTCTAATTGTTTGCAATGATGAACAAAAATTTCGACACGTCTTGACGGAAGTTACGTCTGATGGCGATTTCGTCTTCAGCACCAGGTTTGTCTAAAATCAGACTGTGGTGGGAACGCCATTCTCCAATATGGCATAACATGTGTTGCTCGTTGACAAAGCGACCAACAAAAGCCACATATTCTGAATCTTGATGAAACGAGGTGGATGTTCGCTTGCAATCCTGACCAGGGCCAAGGACGAGACGAATTACAGCACAACCCGGAGTCGTCCACAGACCGAACAAATTTCCTCCTGTTGATATGCTGATGTTTGTGGACCTCAGCACACATAGCCTTAAAATCATTCCTGTACATGTACACCTTAACAAATGCAAAATATATAAATATATATAAATCAATTATAGTAAAATATCAATTGCAAGGGAGAGTCGATATGAGAGTTTCATGGTCATTCTCGTGTCACAGTCAAACGCGAGCGAGAGTTGCCGTCAATTCCATCCTCGATTGACCAATTCAAAGTGGAAAAATAAATCTATTTTCTTACCTTGTGTTCGCTCTTCGGCACAGACATTTCTTTTGTAAGACAACTTTAAGTTAAGATAGATCTCAGTGCGAGTTGCTGTGACGCAATATTGTCTTATTGAAAGTGGAGCTGCCTTGTAAGTTTGTATATATTCACTGTTTATATATATTCACTTGACTGAACTTTCGCTTTCTCATATATATATACTTCCGTCTGCGTTAAATTACAAGCTGAACCAATTTCGCATTTAAATTTACATAAATCACAATATATTATACTAGACAGACTTAAACATAATCATGTATCTAACGTTTTAGCACAGACAGCTCTGTCGTACACTGTTTAGTTTGTACAACCAAAATTTACCTCGCAAAAAGTAAAATACAGTTAAAATAAACAAATTACAACAACTAAATCAAATAACAACAACTAAACAGTGTACCACCTGTGGTTTTACCAAGAAAAATACTGGTCTTTTCTACTGGGAAAAACCTTTAGTTTCAGGAAAATGGAGTTCACAAGAATCAATGTTTGATGTCATGCTGTTCATCCTGTTATATTATGCAAGAAATGTGATACATATGCTTCAGTGTTCTATTTTCAAAGGAATTATAGAAGCTAGTGTACTTGCCATTGAGAACATCTAGTTTATAATATAAACTGAATGTTTTATAACTAAAATATGACTTGGTATGAGATAAGTTCCATTCGAAAGTGTGAAAATTTATGTCCATATTCAAAAGTGTTTTTTGTTTTATTCAGAGTATAGGTTTGAGCCACGGAAGACTAAACCCGACTTGGTGTATAAGTAAGAGCGTGTATTCTGGGCGAAAGGAAACTGGGGAGAGGTTTTCGTCATGCTAGCTCTAAAGTATTCCGTTGCACAATATTCGTTGCTAGAGGTTCCAAAAAACATTGCTTCACACTTTCTTATTGATATGCAGTTATACTAAGCACGGCCAAACGCTAATGAGGGTTGATGACAGTTGCAATCCTCTCTCGCATTTGACTGCAAACTGCCATCGAGTCTCGTGTACTCACATCAACTTTGAGCTGGTTCAAATTTGAATGAGAGTTTTTGTTTGTTCGATGGGTAAAATCTAGCCAACTTTCGTCAACCCCCAGGCTACCTTGCTTCTGTTTGACCGGCACCATAAGAGTTGACATGGCCATGGGAGTTGAGAAAACTCTCGTGCAAACTCTCGCTTCTCATGCAACTCTCATTAAAACTCAGTCTCATCCACGTTTGGCCGGGACGTTATACTTGCAAAAACTATACTAAACTACGTACTAATGTCTCTACATATCAAAAACACTTTAAACTCACGTTACATTAGATACGATCATGGTATTAATTATGAAGTTGTTTGCACGAACTATTGTTCTGGCATGGCGAGCAGCTACAGTTACTTCTGATGGCTAACATGATGAGATCTGATGAAACTAATGATTTCTGTTCATGTTTGCTCTTTGACGAATCATTTATTGTCTTCTTCTCCGGAGCTCCATACAGCCTTTCTATGTAGACCTCGGCAGGTTTCTCAGGAAACTCGGCTGGAATTTTTATGGACCACGTCTTGTAATAATGCTGAAATTCAATTTTATGTCTACCGTCATTTTGGGTCCGGTCAGAAAACGATAACGGTGTTGCCATGTCGGTCATCTTTATTTCGTTTGCTAGCTCTTTTACAACGTCAGCAAACGTTGTGGTAACTGGGGGCATTGCAGCAGCAGGCTTGGTTAACTTCTCTTTGCTGATATTTTTACAAATCTTGCACGAATAACAGCAATTTTTCTTGATAGACAGAAGTATGTTTGCGTGATTGGTAAGAGGTTTCTCAAGGTTATAAAGAGGGCCTGACGAGCTGCTTGGGAAATAATCACGCTTCAATTCACGGTAAAGCTGCGCTGGTTGATTGGGAAATTTTCAGGAAAGTGAACCATCCAGTGATAAGACTCGTGTTCAAAAATCATATTTATGTCATCATAACTACGTGCTATTTCCACTTTTCCTTGACCAAACAATTTCTCTAACTCATCGTGAATGTCCTTCATCGTAATTTCTTTCACTGTTTTATTTTGAGCTGAGCCATTCTCTGGAGGGTTATCGGTTGTTTGAGCAGCATGGTCTACCGGGATGGTTGGTCCACCTTCGGGGGTTAAATTTTCTTTGCTGATATTTTCACAAATTTGGCATGTCAACTGGCAATTTTTCTCGATAGACAGAAGTATGTTAACATGATTAGTAAGAGGTTTCTCGAGGTAATGATGAGGGCATGGCAAGCTGCTTGAGCAATGATGACGATTCGATGCACGGTAAAGCTTCGCTGGTTGATGTGGGAAGGTTTTAGGAAAGCGAACCATCCAGTGAGATGACTCATGCTCAAAAATCATATTTATGTCATCATTACTACGTTCTATTTCCATTTTTCCTTTGCCAAAAAATTTCTCTAACTCATCGTAAGTGTCCTTCATGACAATTTCTTTCGTTGTAGCCTTCCCATCTTCGGTATTCGCTGTTTGGTTTTGAGTTTTGCCATTTTCAGGAAGGTTATCGGCAGTTTGAGTAGAAGTATAGTCTGCCGAGGGGGTTAGTCCACCTTTGGGGGATTCTGTATCAAATGTTTCCATCGGGGCAACATCATCCGCATTTTTCCCAGAAGATTGACTATTGGTCAAGGTAGCCTGCGAATGGGTAAAACCAGTGTTGGCATCCCGTTGAGAATTTGAGCCTGAGTTTCGGAGGTGTTCATGGGAACGTCTCAAGATGGCCTGCAAATGGGCGTTAGTAGTGTTATCATTCCGTTGAGAATATGAGCCTGTGTTTCGGGGGTTTTCGGGGGTATTTCTCGAGGCGGCCTGCATATAGGTGGGAGAAGTGTGGTCAACCTGCAGTTGAGTACTCCAGCCTGCGTTTTGGAGGTTTTCGTGGGAACTTCTCGAGAGGGCCTGTATGTAGGTGGGAGTAGTGTGTCATTCCGTTGGGAATTTAAACCCGCGTATGAGGCTCCACCATCGTTACTTTCGTTTTGCTGATATTCTCTTCCTTCGGCTCCCCGCTCAATTTTTGTTTCAAATTTTTCATTTTTTTATCAATGAACATATTACGTTAATCGTTGCATTTTTTCGCACCAAAATATTGAACCGTTCGCCTTCTAGAGTTACTTAAGGTGGCGACAACAATATTGCCACTTGTCCAAATTGTGGATATTAGGTTTAACATATTACGGAACTTAATAAAACATTTTAATGGTAAATGGCTACATATCTTTTCTAAAACTTGCAATTAGTTGTAGCCAAAATCGCGAATTAATTTTCTGTAAAAATAATGAAGCAATCCCCAGAAAAAGGGAAAAACTAGTGCTGAAATTCCAACATTTGCTCTTTCATGGAACAAATTCAACGGAAAACAGCAAATTTAAGGCATTTTCCCAACCTTAGCTTTTGCCCTTGTCAATTTGCCAGGGATTTTTCATCTTTTTTATTAATTTCTACAAGAAACAAAAGTTTAATAATAGAGATAAAAACATTTTGTTTTTGAGCAGAAAGGTAGGTTGAAACTTTAGAAATCCTTCTACAAAGTTTGCATTATTTTTAACCTAATTTCTGTAATTTGGACGGGTTGCAAAATTGGTGTCGCCACCTCAAGTATCTATAGAAGCCGAACGGTTAAGTCTTTTGGTGAGATAAATACTACGATTAATATAGTATGATTGTTTTTCAACCCACTGCAAAAAAATTGAACCTTTGATTAAATATAGCGAAGTAATACCACCAAATATGACAGGGGACACTTTTTTGGGACACCCTGTATAATATGCAAGATATGTGATACAAACTTTAGTACGTGTTCTATTTTCAAAGGAATTAGAAATGTATACTTTCCATTTAAAATGAACAGAATTTAATGTTTTATAACTAAAATACGTATGTTTCAAGAGATTAAGTAATCAATCAATCAATCGATGAAGTCAATCAATTATTGATTCAATCAATAAAGTCAATCAATGACGTCAAAATCATTCATTCAACGGAAAGGTGAACTCATTGACTTAGTTTAAAATACATCCTATTCGAAAGTTTGAAACTTTATGCTCTGTATATATTCAAGCAGTGCATGTTCTTTATTTTATCCAGAGTATAGGTTTGAGCCACGGCCGCGTGTGGACTAAACCCGACTTGCACTTAGTCGATAAGTAAGAGCGTGTATCCAGGACGAGAGAAACTGGGGAGAGATACTCGCCATATTGGTCTAAAGCCTGTTTTCCACTTCAACCGTGTCGTAACGTATCGTGGCATTTCTTTTGTGTCCACACTACCGCTCAGGAAACAAAGAAATACGCTACGTTTCGGTTAAGTGGAAAACTGGCTTAAAACAAGGTAGTTAAGCTATTCCGGTGACACGAATAAAAAATTAGAAAATGCACGCAGTTATTTATCTAGATCAGGGCTAGATACTTAAAATTTCTTGCTTATATTTAGTTATACAATCAGTTATAGTCGAACAAACTACGCTAAAGCAACTAGAGTACTGTAATCAGTAAAATTGTCCGTGAGCTACTTACTTGTATCTCAAACTCATTAATAATTCATGAGTAAATTAGTCAACCATATTGCTTTATTTTGCTCACATGATAATACTTGATACCTGGTGAAGTATACTGATCCAGTCCTACGACTGGATCAAAATTAATTCACCTAACTTTAACTAGTGATTTATTCGTCAAATTGCGCGGAATTGAAATCTAAGGTTTCTATTCATGTCTGCCGATTTGGAAATTTATATACATAATATTTATTGTCTTCTAATTCTGTTGGGCAAAGTGACGTCCGCGTCTTTTGTTGGCCCTAGTTTACAGTCTCTACAACAAACCTAATCGTTATACTCTATAATGAAACATATTGATTATCATACAAATAATTTCTACTGAAGATAGAAAAGCGCCATGTGTACCATATCTATATTATAATGGTACCTTAAATTAATCAGCCAAACTAATTTTTCTTACTTCTACATTTCCAGCAACGACAACTGGTGTAGATGGCCAACATAATGAGATTCGATGATACCAATGGCTCCTGTTTATGTCTGGTGTTTGAAGAAAGATCAATTTTCTCAAGCCGCACGGTTCCATAGCAACTTCCTTGTTTGTAGACCTCCGCTGGCTTATCGGGAAACACGGCTGGAAACGTGATCAGCCATTTCGAGTAGTTATGTTCAAATGCAATTTTATAACTCCCGTCACTTTGGGTCTGACCAGCTAACGTTTTTGGTGTCGCCATCTCGCTCATTGTGATTTCATTTGTTAGAGCATCAACAACGTCCCCCAGACTCTTGTTGCTCATGGGCTTGGCAGTTGCAGGTTTGGTTAAGTTTTCTTTGGTGATAGTTTTGCAAATCTTACATAATGAACTGTAGCAACTTTTCTTAATAGACAGAAGTATATTGACATAATTGGTAAGAGGACTCTCTAGAAGCCAATTGGAACATGGTGATAAATATTTAGGGTTGAAAGCCGATAAAAGCTGTGCAGGTCGATTTGGGAAGGTTTCTGGGAAGCGAAGCATCCAGTGATATTGGTAATGTTTGAACGTCATTTGTACTTCACCATGACTGGTACGTTCAATAGCCACTTTTCCTTCGCTGCCGAAATATTTTTCAAGCCCATCATAAATTTTCTTCAAGATAATTTCCTTCGTTGTTGCCGTCTCATTTGCGGTATTCGCCGATTGATTTTGAGCTGTATCATTCCCTGGAGGGTTATTGGTTGTTTGAGCAGTATGGTCTACTGGGAGGATTGGTTCAACTTCGGGGTTTAAATTTTCTTTGCTGATATTTTCACAAATTTTGCATGTCAACCGGCAATTTTTCTTGATAGACAGAAGTATGTTAACATGATTGGTAAGAGGTTTCTCAAGGTTATAATGAGGGCATGGCGAGCTGCTTGAGAAATGACGACGTTTCGATACGCGGTAAAGCTGCGCTGGTTGATTCGGGAAGGTTTTAGGAAAGCAAACCATCCAGCGATATGACTCATGTTCAAAAATCATATTTATGTCATCGTAACTTGTTCGTTCTATTTCCACATTTTCTTGGCCAAAAAATTTCTCCAACTCATCGTATGTGTCCTTCATGATAATTTCTTTCGTTATAGCCTTCTCATATTCGGTAGTCGCCGACGTTTGAGCCGAAGTATGATCTGCTGGAAGGTTTGGTAGTATTGGTACACCTTTGGGGGATTCCGTATAAAATGTGTCCGTCGGGGTAACATCATTTGCATTCTCCCCAGAAGGTTGACCATTGGTTGAGGCGACCTGCGAATAGGTGGGACTAGTGTTCCGACTCTGATGAGAATTTGAGCCTGTTTGTTGGGGATTCTTGTGGGAACTTCTTGAGGCGACCTGCGTATAGGTGGGTCTAGTGTTCTGATTCTGATGAGAATTTCTGATGAGAATTTGAGCCTGTTTGTTGGGGGTTTTTGTGGGAACTTCTTGAGGCGACCTGCGTATAGGTGGGACTAGTGTTCCGACTCTGATGAGAATTTGAGCCTGTTTGTTGGGGATTCTGGTGGGAACTTCTTGAGGCGACCTGCGTATAGGTGGGTCTAGTGTTCTGATTCTGATGAGAATTTGAGCCTGTTTGTTGGGGGTTTTTGTGGGAACTTCTTGAGGCGACCTGCGTATAGGTGGGACTAGTGTTCTGATTCTGATGAGAATCTGGGCCCGTATTTCGTGGGGGTCCGGAGCCTGTTAAAGAGGCTCGACCTTGATTTCCCTCAGCTCCACGCTCAATCTTTGCCAAAATTTTAGCATCATTTGAGAAGGGATTTTTGGATTCTAAAACCACAAACTCTGCTTTTTCATAGCGTGTTCCGCCGTCGGTGAAGAAATACGGAGACAGCACACTATCACCGTTTCTAATGTTTGCAATGATGAGCAAAAATTTCGACACGTCTTGAGGGAAGTTACGTCTGATGGAGATTTCGTCTTCAGCACCAGGTTTGTCTAAAATCAGACTGTGGTGGGAACGCCATTCTCCGATATGACATAACATGTGTTCCTCGTTGACAAAGCGACCAACACGAGCCATATATTCTGAATCTTGATGAAACGAGGTGGATGTTCGCTTGCAACCCTGACCAGGGCCAACGACGAGACGAATTACAGCACTACCCGAAGTCGTCCACAGACCGAACAAATTTCCTCCTGTTTGGATATGCTGATGTTTGTGGACCTCAGCACACATAGCATTAAAATCATTCATATACATGTACACCTTAACAAATGCAAAATATATAAATATATATAAATCAATTATAGTAAAATATCAGTTGCAAGCGAGAGTCGATATGAGAGTTATGAGAGTCATTCTCGTGTCGCAGTCAAACGCGAGCGAGAGTTGCCGTCAATTCCTTCCTCGATTGACCAATTCTAAGTAGAAAAATAAATCTATTTTCTTACCTTGTGTTCGCTCTTCGGCACAGACATTTCTTTTGTAAGACAAGTTTAAGTTAAGATAGATCTCAGTGCTGAGTTGCTGTGACGCAATATTGTCTTATTGAAAGTGGAGCTGCCTTGTAAGTTTGTATATATTCACTGTTTATATATATTCACTTGACTGAACTTTCGCTTTCTCATATATATACTTCCGTCTGGATTAAATTACATTTACATAAATCACAATATATTAATTATAATCATGTATCTAACGTTTTAGCACAGACAGCTCTGTCGTACACTGTTTAGTTTATACAACCAAAATTTACCTCGCAAAAAGTAAAATACAGTTAAAGTAAACAAATCTTGTACTAAATCTAGAAATATTCCTTGATACGTGTAATATGCTAATACAGAGTTAGCATATTAAATGTGTCAACAAATATTTCTCAATATCGACTTATTACACATCATAAAGCCATCAGGCAAGTCAATTAGTTTATTTTACTCTTATACTAGGTAAATTTTGTTTGTTTGGCTGTTTTAAAATCGTTTACATAACAACAACTAAACAGTGTACCACCTGTGGTTTTACTAAGAAAAATACTGGTCTTTTCTACCGGGAAAAACCTTTAGTTCCAGGAAAATGGAGTACACAAGAATCAATGTTTGATGTCATGCTGTTCGTCCTGTTGTATTATGCAAGAAATGTGCTACATATGCTTCAGTGTTTTATTTTCAAAGGAATTATAGAAGCTAGTGTACTTGCCATTGAGAAAATCTAATTTATAATATAAACTGAATGTTTTATAACTAAAATATGACTTGGTATGAGATAAGTCCCATTCGAAAGTTTGAAAATTTATGTCCATATTCAAAAGTGTTTTTTATTTTATTCAGAGTATAGGTTTGAGCCACGGTAGACTAAACCCGACTTGGTCTTGGTGTATAAGTAAGAGCGTGTATTCGAGGCGAAAGAAAACTGGGGAGAGATATTCGTCATGCTCTAGCTCTAAAGTATTCGGTAAAATATTTGCCTCTAACGAAGAAATAATTGAAGATTTGGCAATGGGGTCTCAGTGTAAAGCAGAAGGGGACTTAATAGAGGAGGCTTGACGAGTGTCTTCCTCCAAAAACAGGGCGCTTGTTATAGAGAGAAACACTTACTCGAGAGCGAGGATTCATAGTATTAGAAATTCTACAAAGATCTACACTTTATTACAATATTTGATAACCACATATTAATCATTATATCGTAAAAATTCTGCGTGCAGTTCATATATTTAGTTACAGTAAAACCTCTGGCCGGCTCTATAGATATGTGTTGGATACCTTAGGATCGAAGCTTGCCCTTCGTGTTTGGAGGTATCCACTGTCTAAAGATTTTCTACTGTTCTAACGACTTTTGATAACAATAATGTATGTTTTATTATACGAGTCCTGCGCGAGAAGCTAAAGATAACTTTAACCACCTTTATCTTCATTAAAACTAATTATACAGCATGAACACGAACTGGTTTGTTCTAATATTTTACATAAACTGTGTGTTATTAGTGGTCGTTTTTCATTTTACTCGGAATCCGTTGTGCACAATATTCGTTGCTAGAGGTTCCAAAAAAACATTGCTTCACACTTTCTCATTGATATGCAGTTACTACTAAGCACGGTCAAACGCTAATGAGGGTTGATGACAGTTGCAATCCTCGCTCGCATTTGACTGCAAACTGCCATCGAGTTTCGTGTACTCTCACCAACTTTGAGCTGGTTCAAATTTGGATAAGAGTTCTTGTTTGTTTGGTGGATAAAATCTAGCCAACTTTCGTCAACTCCCAGGCTACCTTGCTTCTGTTTGACCGGCACCATAAGAGTTGACATGGCCATGGGAGTTGAGAGAATTCTCGTACAAACTCTCGATTCTCATGCAACTTTCATTAAAACTCAGTCTCATCCACGTTTGACCGGGACGTTATCTTGCAAAAACTATACTAAACTACGTACTAACGTCTCTACTTATCAAAAACATGCACTTTAAACTCACGTTACATTAGGTACGATCATGTTATTAATTACGAAATTGTTTGCACGAACTATTCTTCCGGCATGGCGAGCAATAACAGTTGCTTCTGATGGCTAACATGATGAGATCTGATGAAACCAATGATTTCTGTTCATGTTTGCTCTTTGACGAATCCGTTATTGTCTTCTTCTCCGGAGCGCCATACAGCGTTTCTTGTTTGTAGACCTCTGCAGGTTTATCAGGAAATTCAACGGGGATTTTTATGGACCACGTCTTGTAGAAATGCCTAAATTCAATTTTATGGCTCCCGTCATTTTGGGTCCGGTCAGAAAACGATAACGGTGTTGGCATATCGGTCATCTTTATTTCGTTTGCTAGCTCTTTTACAATGTCAGCAAACGTTGCGGTGACTGGGGGCATTGCAGCAGCAGGCTTGGTTAACTTCTCTTTGCTGATCTTTTTACAGGTCTTGCACGAATAACAGCAATTTTTCTTGATGGACAGAAGTATGTTGACGCGATTGGTAAGAGGTTTCTCAAGGTTATAAAGAGGGCCTGACGAGCTGCTTGAGAAATAATCACGTGTCAATTCACGGTAAAGCTTTGCTGGTTGATCTGGGAAGTTTTGAGGAAAGCGAACCATCCAGTGATATGATTCATGCCCAAAAATCATATTTATATCATCATTACTACGTTCTATTTCCACTTTTCCTTGACCAAACAATTTCTCTAACTCATCGTAAATGTCCTTCATCGTAATTTCTTTCGCTGTTTGGCTTTGAGCTGAGCCATTCTCTGGAGGGTTATCGGTTGTTTGAGCAGTATGGTCTACCGGGAGAGTTGGTCCACCTTCGGGGGTTAAGTTTTCTTTGCTGATATTTTCACAACTTTTGCATGTCAACCGGCAATTTTTCTTGATAGACAGAAGTATGTTAACATGATTAGTAAGAGGTTTCTCAAGGTTATAATGAGGGCATGGCGAGCTGCTTGAGAAATGATGACGATTCAATTCACGGTAAAGCTTCGCTGGTTGATTCGGGAAGGTTTTAGGAAAGCGAACCATCCAGTGATATAACTCATGTTCAAAAATCATATTTATATCATCATAACTACGTTCTATTTCCACTTTCCCTTTGCCAAAAAATTTCTCTAACTCATCGTAAATGTCCTTCATCGTAATTTCTTTCGCTGTTTGACTTTGAGCTGAGCCATTCTCTGGAGGGTTATCAGTTGTTTGAGCAGTATGGTCTACCGGGAGAGTTGGTCCACCTTCGGGGGTTAAGTTTTCTTTGCTGATATTTTCACAACTTTTGCATATCAACCGGCAATTTTTCTTGATAGATAGAAGTATGTTAACATGATTAGTAAGAGGTTTCTCAAGGTTATAATGAGGGCATGGCGAGCTGCTTGAGAAATAACGACGATTCAATTCACGGTAAAGCTTCGCTGGTTGATTCGGGAAGGTTTTAGGAAAGCGAACCATCCAGTGATACGACTCATGTTCAAAAATCATATTTATGTCATCATAACTACGTTCCATTTGCACTTTTCCTTTGCCAAAAAATTTCTCTAACTCATCGTAAGTGTCCTTCATGACAACTTCTTTCGTTGAAGCCTTCTCATCTTCGGCAGTCGCCGACGTTTGAATCGAAGTATGGACTGCCAGCGGGGTTGGTCCACCTTTGGGGGATTCCGTATCAAATGTGTCCGACGACGTAACATCATTTGCATTCTCTCCAGATCGCTGACTATTGCTTGAGGTAACCTGTGAATGGGTAGAACTAGTATTGCCATCCCGTTGAGTAATCGAGCCTGTTTGTCTGGGGTTTTCATGGCAACTTCTTGAGGTGACCTGCGAATAGGTGGGGTTCCTATTCTGATGAGAATTTGAGCCCGTGTTTTGTGGGATTTCGAAGCCTGTTAAAGAGGCTCGACCTTGATTTCCCTCAGCTCCGCGCTCAATCGTTGCCAAATTTTTAGCATCATTTGAAAAGGGATTTTCTGATTCTAAAACCGCAAACTCTGCTTTTTCATAGCTTGTTCCGCCGTCGGTAAAGAAATACGGAGACAGCTCCGCACGATCCTCGTTATTCATGTTTGCAACGATGACCAAAAATTTCGACATGCCTTGCGGGAAGTTACATCTGACAGCCTGCTCGACTCCCGCACTGGTTTGGTCTAAACTTAGGCGGTGATAAGAATGCCACTCACCAATATGACACAACGTATACTTATCATTGACAATGTGATCACGTCCAAGGACGACATGAATTACAGCACTACCCGAAGTCGTCCAAAGACCGAACAAATTTCCTCCCGTCTCGATATGCTGCTGTTTGTAGACCTCGGCACGCATATCGTTGTAGTCATTCGTAAATATGTACACCTTAAGAAATACCGAACGTATGCGTTACTTTGAGTAAAATAGCGACGAGAGTTGGTTAGCGAGAGCCTATACACGAGAGTTTCACGGTCAATCTCGTGGTCAAGATAAACGCAAGCGAGAGTTGCAAATCGCACCAACTGTCACAGGCCTAAGTGGAAAAACAGATCTATCTTTCTTACCTTGTGTTGGCTTTCTGATACAGACATTTCGCAAGACAAAATTTAAGTCACGATAGCTCTTTGTGTTGAGTCGTTGTTGATCCAATATGAAAGTGTTTGCATTTATATGTAAATTATTTATTCATTTGCATTATTCCCTTTCGCTTTCTCATACTTCCGTCTAGATTAAAATATAGATTGAACTGCTTTTGCACCCAACTTTACATCATAAATCACATAGTATATACCACACTAGACAGACTTTAACAAAATCATTGGTCTGCAATCAGTTTATGCATGGACATGGTTGCGTCCCTATATCTATTCTGTGTTTGAGTGCTTTTGTTTCGATAATATAATTTGTAAAACTTTACTGAGAAAAAGCTGGTCTCTTCCAGGAAAAACACTCAGTTCCAAGAAAACGGATTACGAGTGTTTGGCGTCACGCTGTTTTGTTATGCAAGGTATGTGATATACACCATTCATTTATAATATACGGAATGTCATAATAGGAGTCACAAGACAGCAGATGGTTTTCAAATCATCAAAAAAATCAATCAAATTTCAATCAATATGAAGTGAAATAGACAAATAATGAATGAAATCGAGCAATCAATTGATGAAATCAATCAATAAAGTCAATCAATCAATCATTCAATCAGTGGGTAATTTGATTCAAGTTATATCGGGTACAATTCAACTCAATTACTTGGTATAAAATAGATTCTATTCGTAAGTTTGAAAAAAAAAGAAAAAAATTGCAAAAAGGGGTTTTATCCAGAGATTTCCAGAGACCAGAATACAGTTTCGAGCAGACTAGTCCCTAGTCCTCTGTGCGCGCCTTTGATTTCCGTACAGGGCCGTCCAACCGTACATGCAGAAACGCAAAATAGGCGTACTAAGAGGCCTAGGGACTAGGCTGCGTTTCGAGCTACGGCCGGGTAGACTGAACCCGACTTGATCTATAATATTCGCCGGTCATTGAAATTACAACATGGATTCTTTCAGTGTAAATATGTAAAACTTTCTAACCGTTACATTTTACTCTATTTTATTATATGCTAACTGCAGTATATTTATTATTATTAATATTGTTTTCCCTCTGCTCCCAGATTAATTTCTGCCACAATTCTACCATCAGTTGAGAACGGACTGTCGGAATCTACAACAACATACTCTGCTATCTCATAGCGCTCATCGCCGTCGGTGAAGAAATATGGAGACAGTTTATTGTATCGCCGTTCCTGATGTTTGCAATGATGACCAAAAATTTCGACATGCCTTGACGGAAGTTACTTCTGACGGCGCTTTCGTCGTTAGCGCTTGGTTTGCTTAAACCTAGATTGTGGTGGGAATGCCACTCACCAATATGGCATAACATGTGCCCATCGTTGACAAAGCGACCAACACGAGCCATATATTCTGAATCTTGATGAAACGAGGTGGCTGTTCGCCTGCAACCCTGACCAGGTCCAAGGACGACATGAATTACAGCACTACCCGAAGTCGTCCACAGACCAAACAAATTCCCTCCTGTTTGGATATCCTGATGTTTGTAGACCTCAGTACACATAGCATTGAAATCATTCTTATACATATACACCTTAACAAATGCAGAACGTATGCGTTATTTTCAATAAAATATCGACGAAAGTTGGTTAGCGAGAGCCTACACATGAGAGTTTCACGGCCATTTTCGTGGCCATGCAGATAATCGTGACTCGTGTTTTGCAAATCGCTGCATGACAACTCTCACCGTTGACTGGCCAGGTCTAAGTGGAAACACATCTTTCTTACCTTGTGTTGGCTTTTTGGTATAGACATTTCGCAAGACAAATTTTAAGTCACGATAGCTCTTTGTACTGAATCGTTGTTGACCAATATGAAAGTGTTTGTAAGCTAATTTACATGTAAATCATTAATTATTCACTTGCCAAACTTTCGCTTTCTCGTACTTCCGGCTGGATTAAAGTATAGACTGAACCACTTTTGCACTCAACTTTGCATAAACCACATAGCATATATTATACTAGGCAGACTTTAACAAAATCATTGGCCTGCTATCAGTTTATCCATACATGTGATAATTCTCAAAGGTATTTGATAGTAGAAGTGTGCTTGACATTGAGAAAAAGTCATTTCAAATATATGGAATGTCATAACAAGAGTCATCTGAGGAGCAGATAAATGTTTTCCATGAAATAAAATGTCATGTTTCTGGGAACTACTATCATGGGGCAGATAATACACCTTTGCAGATATATCAGGAAATTGAGCTGGAAAACAGATAATCCAACGCTTCTTTGCGTACTTAAAAGTTACTTCGGCGTTGCTGTTGACAAAGTGAGTTATGTTCACATCACTTAACCTCATTGTAAATTCATTCACAAGTATATTTAGGGAAGCCGCAAGCTTGTCCATAGAGTGTGAGTTTAAATCAGACTGAGGAAGCGATTCCCCTGTAAAATGCTTGCAGATCTTACAGTCACCGCATATATGTTCTTTATTGTAAGTAATATATTGACTTCGTTGTTCAGTGGTTTAACAAGCACAAAATTCCTACATTCATTATGAGTGCTGCAACTTCATAGGAAGAGTAAAATAATTTGGCAGGATTGGTCGGGAAATCTTCAGAAAAACGAACCATCCAGTATCTGTGATTATGCTGAAAATTAATTTCGATGGCACCAGGAATATCCTTGGATTTTTCGAATTTGAAGTTGGAATCGGATTGAATACCAAACCAATTTTTAAGTTGATCATGAATTTTCTTCAAAGCAATATCGCGTTCAGACAGTGCTTCTTCATTACCATTATTATTCTTGTCTGGATCTGCTTGACCACCGGCGGAAGTGCCAGGTTGAGATGCAGAGGTGGCGTTTTCAGTGCTACAACTCGATCTTTCGTGATCTCCAGAAAAGTGAAGATCACTATCTTATGTATCCATTGGTCCCTCGCGATCATTAGGAGTGGATCCACTTGGGTTGGCATTTTAGTAAACCTTGGAATCAGATGCATTTTGGTCAACCTGGGATTTCGGTGTATTTTGATTGGCTTTAAAGTTGAGTTACATGGGTCAACCTGGGGTAAACTGCCGTTAGCTTTCGATGCAGGTATATTTGTGTTAGCTAGGGAGACATATGGGTTAAGCTTTGTTGTACATGTACTAGCGTTAACCAGGGAGTCAGAGAAACTTGGACTGGGCTTTGATGCGGATGTACTTAGACCAACCAGAGAGGAGCCTTGGTTAGCTGCAAGCGAGTTGGATTGGTGTTGCCATTCCGTTGAGAATTAGAACCCGTGTTTTGTCGGTTTTGTTGCATTTCGTAAAGAGGCTCCACTGTGATTGGCATCCTCCACCAAAGTAGTTTCTCTTCTTCACTGATATTCTTTTCCCTCAGCTACCAGATGAATTTGTTCCACAATTTTATCATCAGTTGAGAACGGACCGTCGGATTCTAAAACCACATACTCTGCTATCTCATAACGCTCACCGCCGTGGGTAAAGAAATACGGAGACAGTTTAGTTGTATGACCGTTTTTAATGTTTGCAATGATGACCAAAAATTTCGACGTGCCTTGAAGGAAGTTACGTGTGATTGTGATTTCGTCTTCAGCGCTGGGTTTGTCTAAAATCAGATTGTGGTGGGAATGCCATTCTCCAATATGGCATAACTTGTGTTTCTCGTTGACAAAGCGACCAACACGAACCAGATATTCTGAATCTTGATGAAACGAGGTGGTTGTTCGCTTGCAACCCTGACCAGGGCCAATGACGATACGAATTACAGCACTACCCAACGTCGTCCACAGACCGAACAAATTTCCTCCTGTTTGGATATGCTGCTGTTTGTGGACCTCAGCACACATAGCATTAAAATCATTCATATACATGTGTGTACATGTATATGATAAAATATAGAAATATATATCAATTAGCCATTCCGAAGTTGATGAGAGGACTGGGGACGAAATTGCCCAAATTAAGAAATGAACCAAATCACTAAAAAAGCGCCTCAAAATTAGTAAATATACAAAGTTTGAAGACGTTTACATGAATAACCTTCGAATAATAAGCTTTCGAAAATCGCGATATTTACTATGAAATGTATTCTAATTTGTGCTTTTGAGACGCGTGTCCCAAAAACAATCTTTTAATCAGTAATTTCACAATTTTCGAAAGCTTATTATTCGAAGGGTATTCATGTAAACGTATTCAAACTTTGTATACTTACTAATTTTGAGGTGCTCGTTTTAGTGATTTGGTTCATTTCTTAATTTGGGCACTTTTTATCACTCGTCCCCAGTCCACTCATCAACTTCGGAATGGCTAATTATAGTAAAATATCGATTGCAAGAGCGAGTCGATATGAGAGTTTCATGGTCATTCTCGTGTCGCAGTCTTGCAACGCGAGCGAGAGTTGCCGTCAATTCCATCCTCGATTGACCAATTCTAACTGGGAAAAATAGATCTATTTTTCATACCTTGTGTTCGCTCTTTGGCACAGACATTTCTTTGTAAGACAATTGCAAGTTTAGGTTAAGATAGCTCTAAGTGCTGAAATCCTGCGACGCAATATTGAAAGTGGAACTGCCTTGTAAGTTTATATATATTCACTTGGCGGCTAAATTTACATAAATCACAATGTATTATACTAGACAGACTTTAACAAAATCATGTATCTATATGTTGGGCTTCTAATTTGTAACGTTTTACCACAAGCAGGCCGGTTGTATACTGATTAGTTTATGTCATGTAAATTATTTTAAAACAACCAAATAAACAAAATGTACCTTGCAAAAAGTAAAATACAGTTGAATAAACAAATTTACTTACCCGATGGCTATTTGATGTGTACCAAGTGGAGAAATATTCCTTGACACGTGTAATATGCTAATAACAAAGTTTGTCAAGGAATATTTCTCAATCTGGACTTAATACAACTCAATTACTTTATTTTACTCTTAAACAAGGTAAATTTTGTTTGTTTGGCTGTTTTAAAATCGTTTACATCACATAAACTAAACAGTGTACCACCTGTGGTTTTACGAAGAAAAATACTGATCTTTTCTACCGGAAAAAACCTAATTTCGTTCCAGGAAAATGGAGTACACAAGAATCAGTGTTTGATGCCATGCTGTTATATTATACAAGATATATTGTGATACATTGGTCTACTTTACTTTTTAGTGTTTTAATTTTCAAAGGAATTAGAAGTGTACTTGCCACTGAAAAAATTTAATTTATAATGAACAGAATTGAATGTTTTATAACTAAAGTAGGTGTGTTTCAATTTGATATAAAAGAATCAATCAATCCATGAAGTCAATCAATTATTTTAACACTGACGCTAACCTCTTGACATACCTTTTTATTTTAATCTATATCTTTCACTAATCTCAGTATCTTGTTTATACATATAAAATACCATGAACGTTGCATCTTTCTACTTTTAACTTTTTAACCGTTTGCAATTGTATATCATATATTTTTTTTAAAATGTGTTATAAAATAGATGAAATAGCTCAACTGTATTTAACTTAACTATGTCTTGTAATGTGACGAAACGTTACTCAATAAATGTTTTTACATACCAAATGTTTTTTTTTTTTAATATGCCTCTTTTACGAATTATTTGCTGGGCAATTATATTTTTAACTTGAAGTGAAACAAACAAATAATCAATGAAGTTGATCAATCCAGTCAATCAAACAATCATTGAATCAGTGGGTAATTTGGTTCAAGTTATATGGGGCAAATTGAACTCAATAACTTGGGATAAGATAAATCCTATTCGTAAGGTTGAAAAGTTATGCCCACATTCAAAAGTGCTTGCAAAAGATGGGTTTCATCCAGAGTGTAGTTTTGAGCTACGGCCGTGTAGACTGAACCCGTCTTGATCTATAAAATTCATCTTCAATTCAAACTCGAAGACTACTTCATTTATTATATATATTCACCTCTATAGTCAGAAATTCTAATGGAGATCTTTGTAATTATTCTACATGTAATGTTTTAAAAATTATAAAATACGACTAATGTAGCAAATAGCGTTATTATAGATACTCCGTTAGAGTATTTTCATCATCGATATTGCCGTCGTATGTCCAAACATCTCCAACAAGTACAGTTGCTATGAATAGCTTTAATGATCAGTTTTGACGTATTTAAATCCTGTGGACCACGTGAATGTTTTCCATATAATAACGCGTCATGTTCCTGGGAACTTTTCTCATAGACCAAATAAGACACCTTTGCAGGTATTTCAGGAAATTGAGCTGGAACGCCAATCCAACGCCAATGTCCGTGCTTGAATGTTATTTTGGCGTGACTGGTGTCTAAGGGTTGATTTACATTCAAAGCAGTCACATCACTGAAGATCGTTGTAAGTTCACTCACAAGTTTATTTAGGGAAACCGCAAGCTTCTCCATAGAGCGTGAGTTTAAATTAGGCTGAGATAGCGATTCTTTTGGGAAATTTTTGCAAACCTTACAGTGACATACATTCTTTATTGTGAGCAAAACATTGACTTCGTTGTCCAGTGGTTTAACAATTTCAAAGGCGAAACATTCATTATGACGCACTGAGGCTTCCCAGGAAGAATAAAATAATTTTGCAGGCTTGGTAGGAAAATCTTCAGGAAAACGAACCATCCAGTATCTGCGATTATGCTTAAAACTAATTTCGATGGCATCAGGAATATCCTTGGATTTTTCGAATTTGAACTTGGAATCGGATTGAATACCAAACCATTTTTTGAGTTGATCATAAATTTTCTTCAACGCAATATCGTGTTCAGACAGTGTTTCTTCATTACCATTTTTATTCTTGTCTGGATCTGCTTGACCACCGGCGGAGGTACCAGGTTGAGATGCAGAGGTGGCGTTTTCAGGTCTATCACTCGATCTTTCGTGATCGCCAGGAGGGTGAAGATCACTATCTTCTGTATCCATTGGTTCCTCGCGAGTGGATCCATTTGGGGTGGGCTGGGATTCGGATGAGCTTTGGTTAACCTTGGAATCATATGTATTTTGGTCAACCTTGGAGTTGGGTGTACTTTGGCTAGCTTTGGGGTTGGGTGTACGTGAGTCAACATGGTGTACACTGGTGTTAGCCTTCGATGCAGGTATATTTGAGTTAACCAGGGAGTCAGATGAACTTGGGTTAGGCTTCGATGCGGATGTACTTAGGCCAACCAGGGATGAGATTTGGTTAGCCTGCAAGCAAGTTGGATTGGTGTGGCCATCCCGTCGAGAATTAGAAGACGTGTTATGTTGGTTTCCTGCATTTCGTAAAGCGGCTCCACTGTGATTGGCAACCTCTACCAAAGTAGTTTCTCTTCTTCGCTGATATTCTTTTCCCTCTGCTCCCAAATGAATTTCTTCCACAATTTTATCATCAGTTGAGAACAGACCGTCAGAATCTAGAACCACATACTCTGCTATCTCATAGCGCTCACCGCCGTCGGTGAAGAAATACGGAAACAGTTTAATTGTATCGCCGTTTGTAATGTTTGCAATGATGACCAAAAATTTCGACATGCCTCGAGGGAAGTTACGTCTGATGGTGTTTTCGTCTCCAGCGCTTGGTTTGCTTAAACTCAGATTGTGGTGGGAACGCCATTCTCCGATATGACACAACATGTATCCCTCGTTGACAAAGCGACCAACACGAACCATATATTCTAAATCTTGATGAAACGAGGTGCTTGTTCGCCTGCAATGCTGGCCGGGGCCAAGGACGACATGAATTACAGCACTACCCGAAGTCGTCCATAGACCAAACAAATTTCCTCCTGTTTGGATATGCTGATGTTTGTAGACCTCAGCACACATAGCGTTAAAATCATTCGTATACATGTACACCTTAACAAATACAGAACGCATGCGTTATTTTCAATAAAATATCGACCAAAGTTGGTTAGCGAGAGCATACACATGAGAGTTTCACGGTCATTCTCGTGGCAAAGATAATCGCGAGAGTAGCAAATCGCTGCATGATATCAACTCTCACCGTTGACTGGCCAGGTCTAAGTGGAAACACATCTTTCTTACCTTGTGTTGGCTTTTTGGTATAGACATTTCGCAAGACAAAATTTAAGTCACGATAGCTCTTTGTGCTGAATCGTTGTTGATCCAATATGAAAGTGTTTGCAAGCTAATTTACATGTAAATAACTAATTATTCACTTGCCAAACTTTCGTTTTCTCATACTTCCGTCTGGATTAAAGTATCGACTGAACCACTTTTGCACTCAACTTTACATAAATCACATAGCATATATTATACTACACAGACCCAGTGAACAAAATCATTGGCTTGCTATCAGTTTATGCATACATGTGGTAATTTTCAAAGTATTTAATTAGCCTGCTAGTATTTAATAATAGAAGTGTACTTGACAATGGGAAAAATTCATTTCAAATATACGGAATGTCATAAGAGTCACAAAACAGCAGATGGTTCTCAAATAATCAATTAATATCATTCAATTTCAATCAATACGAGTCAAACAAACACATAATCAATGAAATCAAGTCAATCAATTGATGAAATCAATCAATGAAATCAATCAATCAACCATTCAATCAGTGGGTCATTGGGTTGACGTTATATCGGGCAAAATTGAACTCAATGATTTGGTATAAGATAAATCCTATTCGTAAGTTTGAAAAGTTAATAAGTGATATGCCCACATTCAAAAGTGGGTTTTATCCAGAGTACAGGTTTGAGACGCGGTTGACTGAACTCGACTTAGTCCATAAATATAAGATAATGTATCCACTGGGCGAGAGGAAACTGCATGATAAGAAATACCCCTCGTATTAATCTGGTATTAGTTTGTTCTCAGTGACATCATGCAGAGACTGCAAATTTGTTTTCTTTGCACGATATTTCATTTCACTGGTTTATTGCTGTGACGCAATATTTAAAGGGAACTGCCTTTTAAGTTTTGTCACCAAAAAAAATACTGGTCTTTTCTACCGGGAAAAACCTTTATAGTTCCAGGAAAATGGAGTACACAAGAGTCATTGTTTGGTGTCATGCTGTTATATTATGTAAGATATATTGTGATACATACTTTAGTGTTTTAATTCCCAAAGGAATTAGAAGTGTACTTGCCATTGAAAAAATCTAATTTATAATGAACAGAATTGAATGTTTTATAACTAAAGTAAGTGTGTTTCAAGAGATTAAACAATCAATCAATCCATGAAGTCAATCAATTACTGATTCAAGCAATCAAGTCAATCAATCAATCAATCAATTAATCAGTGGGTAATTTGTTCAAGTTATATCGGGTAAAACTGAACTCAATGACTTGGTGTAAGATAAATCCTATTCGTATATTTGAAAAATTATGTCCACATTAAAAAATGATTGCAAAAAAGGGTTTTATCCAGAGACCATGAGTACAGTTTTGAGCTACGGCCGTGTGACTGAAACCGTCTTGATCTATGAAATTCGCCGGTCATTGAAATTAGAACAGAAATCTTCTTTTTTTTTATATAATCACCTCTACTTTAATCACAAATTCTAATGAAGATCTTTGTAATTATTCTTATTCTACATTAAATTAATGTTTAAAAATTATAGAATACATCTAACGGAGTATCTATAATAAAGCTGTTTGCGACATTAAAGTATTTTCATCACTGATATTGCTGTCGTATGTCTAAACATCTTCTACAAGTACAGTTGGTATGAATAGCTTTAATGATCAGTTTTGACGTATTTAAATCCTGTGGACCACATGAATATTTTTCATACAATAACGCCTCATGTTCCTGGGAACTTTTCTCATGGAACAAATAAGACACCTTTGCAGGTATTTCAGGAAATTGAGCTGGAAGATTAATAATCCAATGATAATGTCCGTGCTTGAATGCTATTTTGGCGTGACTGTTCTCTAAGGGTTGATTTACATTCAAAGCAGTCACATCATTGAAGATCGTTGTAAGTTCACTCACAAGTTTACTTAGGGAAACCGCAAGCCTCGCCATAGAGCGTGAGTTTAAAATCAGACTGAGGAAGCGATTCTTTTATGAAATGCTTGCAGACCTTACATCCACGGCATATATTCTTTATTGTAAGCAACATATTGACTTCATTATTCAGTGGTGTAACAAGCTCAAAATTCCTACATTCATTATGACGTACTGCAGCTCCATAGGAAGAGTAAAATAATTTGGCAGGGTTGGTCTTGAAATCTTTTGGAAAACAAACCATACAGTGTTTGCGGTTTTAAAATCGTTTACATAACAAAAACTAAAAGTGTCCCACCTGTGTTTTACCAAGAAAAATACTGTTTTTTCTGCTGGGAAAAACCTTTCGTTCCAGGAAAATGGAGTACACAAGAATCAGTGTTTGATGTCATGCTGTTATATAATGCAATGTATGTGGAAGGGCTCGATAGATTCCTCTACAAGGGGAGGCATATTAGACGAGGCTTAATACAGGAATACGGTAATGGAAAAATACTTTGTTTCACAATCACATTTTTATCATTATAATTTCAAAATTATTGCATGAAATTCATATTCAGTTACATTTCTGAAAATTTTCTCGCTAACATGCAGTTATATAACTCCAACAAACTATACTAAGCATCATACAAATTTGAATGAAAAGCAGCCTATGTATATTAAATGCAATCATATCAGAACAAGAATACCCTACCTATATATTGTCTGTCGGCTACTTGTTTAAGGTATCCTACATTCTTATACATTGCGAGCAGTAACAGTTACTTCTGATGGCTAACATGATGAGATCTGACGAAATCAATGGCAATGATTTCTGTTCATGTCTGCTCTTTGACGAATCATTTATTGTCTTCTTCTCTGGATAGCGATAGCTACTTTCTTGTTTGTAGACCTCTGCAGGCTTATCAGGAAACTCGGCCGGGATCTCTATGGACCACTTCGCGTGGTAATGCTGAAATTCAATTCTATTACTCCCGTCATTTTGGGCTTGACTAGCAAACGTTAATGGTGTTAAGATGGTCATTTTGATATCTTTTGTTAACTCGTTTAGAACGTCCGTAACCTTTGAGTTATCTGGGGACACTGCAGCAGCAGGCTTGGCTAAATTTTCTTTAGTGATATTTTTGCAAATCTTACAAAATTCACCATAGCAAGTTTTCTTGATAGACAGCAGTACATTGACATGATTGGTAAGAGGTTTCACTAGAAAATAATCAGAACATGGTGACATTTTTGATAAACGTTCAGGATTGTACGCGCAGGAAAGTCGCGCAGGTTGATTTGGGAAGGTTTCATGGAAGCGAAGCATCCAGTATTTTGTGTCATGTTTAAATGTCATTTGTACATCAACATGACTGGTACGTTCAATATCCACTTTTCCTTCGCTGCCGAAATATTTTTCAAGCCCATCCTTAATTTTCTTCAAGATAATTTCTTTCGTTGTAGCCTCATCTGGGCTACCACTCGAAGTTTGGTTTTGAGATGTGTTTCGTTCAGGGGGGTTATTGCTAGCTTGAGACGAAGTACGGTCGGCCGGGGGGGGTTGGATGATCTCCCGGAGAATCAGATGTATCCATCGGTGTGGGTTTAGCCGCCTTCTCTGTTGAGGAATTCGTCGCGGTTGCCTGCGATTGGGTGGTCGAATTAGTGTTGTTATCCCGTTGCGTACTCGAGTCTGTGTTTCGGGGGTTTTCATGGGAATTTCGCGAGACAGTCTGCGAATAAGTGGGACAGGTGTTGTCATTCCCTCGTTTAGAATTTGAGCCCGTGTTTCGTGGGGTTTTGATAAATGTTAAAGAGGCTCTAGCATGATTAGTTTCGTTTAGCTCTGCTCCCAAATTAATTTCTGCCGCAATTTTATCATCAGTTGAGAACGGACTGTCGGATTTTAAAACCTCATACTCTGCTATCGCATAGCGCTCACCGCCGTTGGTGAAGAAATACGGAGACAGTTTAATTGTATCACCGTTCCTGATGTTTGCAATGATGACCAAAAATTTCGACATGCCTCGAGGGAAGTTACGTCTGATGGTGCCTTCGTCTTCAGCGCTTGGTTTGCTTAAACTCAGATTGTGGTGGGAATGCCATTCTCCGATATGACATAACATGTATCCCTCGTTGACAAAGCGACCAACACGAGCCATATATTTTAAATCTTGATGAAACGAGGTGCTTGTTCGCCTGCAACCCTGACCAGGGCCAAGGACGACATGAACTACAGCACTACCCGAAGTCGTCCACAGACCAAACAAATTCCCTCCTGTTTGGATGTGCTGATGTTTGTAGACCTCAGCACACATAGCGTTAAAATCATTCATATACATGTACACCTTAACAAATACAGAACGCATGCGTTATTTTCAATAAAATATCGACGAAAGTTGGTTAGCGAGAGCATACACATGAGAGTTTCACAGTCATTCTCGTGGCCCAGATAATCGCGAGTGAGAGTTGCAAATCGCTGCATGATCAACTCTCACCGTTGAGTGGCCAGGTCTAAGTGGAAACACATCTTTCTTACCTTGTGTTGGCTTTTTGGTATAGACATTTCGCAAGACAAAATTTAAGTCACGATAGCTCTTTGTGCTGAATCGTTGTTGATCCAATATGAAAGTGTTTGTGAGCTAATTTACATGTAAATCATTAATTATTCACTTGCCAAACTTTCGCTTTCTCATACTTCCGTCTGGATGAAAGTATCGACTGAACCACTTTTGCACTCAACTTTACATAAATCACATAGCATATATTATACTACACAGACCCAGTTAACAAAATCATTGGCTTGCTATCAGTTTATCCATACATGTGGTAATTTTTAAAGGTATTTAATTAGCCTGCTAGTATTTAATAATAGAAGTGTACTTGACATTGAGAAAAATTCATTTCAAATATACGGAATGTCATAAGAGTCACAAAACAGCAGATAGTTCTCAAATAATCAATTAATATCATTCAATTTCAATCAATGCCAGTCAAACAAACACATAATCAATGAAATCAAGTCAAATCAATTGATGAAATCAATCAAGGAAGTCAATCAATCAATCATTCAATCAGTGGGTCATTTGGTTCAAGTTATAACGGGCAAAATTGAACTCAATGATTTGGTATAAGATAAATCCTATTCGTAAGTTTGAAAAGTTAATAAGTGATATGCCAACATTCAAAAGTGGGTTTTATCCAGAGTACAGGTTTGAGACGCGGTCATGTTGACTGAACTCGACTTAGTCTATAAATATAAGAGAATGTATCCACTGGGCTAGAGGAAACTGGTAAGAAATACCCCTCATATTAATCTAGTATTAGTTTGTTCTCAGTGATATCAGAGACTGCAAATTTGTTTTCTTTGTACGATGTTTCATTTCACTGGTAAAGAACCGAAACTTGCTTTCTTGGTTGGTAAGATACTTTATTCAGAATAAGTTTTCAAAATAAATTCAGAATAAATTTATCAACAAAATTATTGAGACACTGCTTGTTATAAAACCACCTAGAAAAATACTTAGCTCAGCTCAGATTAAGAAAATGTAATATATATAATATATATAATATATATAATATATATATATATATATATATATAGAAAGACACAAAAACTTAGCAAGCTTTGTTTGGCATATTTATAAATATGCCAAACAAAGCTTGCTAAGTTTTTGTGTGTTTCTATTATGCTCTGGTTATCCATTGAGCACTCTATCATTGGTTTTTATAACCCTACACAAACTATTTTATATATATATATATATATACAACGGGTTGCTTTTCGTTGAAAGACTAAAAAGAGTGCTCAATACTACTGATAAACAGTACAGTAGAGCTATGTAATTAACGTTACAAATATCTTAAAATAACATTTTTTTTTTTTTATTTTTTT